CTCTTTATTTTGGTTTGTTTAAACCTCTTTTTTTTGGGGGGGGGGGGATTGTTTTTTTTTTGTTGTTTCCATGTTCGGTATGTCTGTTTTTCTCAGGGTTATTCAGGAAAAAGATAATATACTTATTACAATGATTTTGGGGAATGTTAATCATGACACTTGCCATGTTACTATTTCAAGAGGTCCCTGCTCCCCCTCCGCACGCCCACCCCCTTGTTTGCTAGCTCTTGCTTCCTCCCCCAGCCCCAGCAGCTATTTCCTCCCTCTCAGCAGAGCCACACAGACAATTGTTTCAGCCTCTGCAAAACGAAGGGGTGGAAAAGGACCGGTGGGGTGAGGACAAATGCACAAAGGCTGGGACTTCCTAAAGTGCATCGGCTGCCAACAGAAAGATGCTTTCTCCCACAGCAGCAGAGCTGAGCTCCACCTCCTCCTCCTTGACCCCGCTGAAGGTTTCCCGCCCTGAAATGTTCAATCAGATGTTTGTGGTCCCCTTCGAAGCACGAGGGGCAAAAGGGCTGGCAGGTTTTTGCAAGCTGATGGTGGTTATGGGGACACGTTGCCAGCCCTGCTTGGAGTTGGGTCCAGGAGCCTCTGGAGCAAGCTGTTCTCCCACCTTGGCTTGTCCCCTTCACATCTTCTGGAGGCACACGTCGATCCCAACTCTTCAGTGTGTTCTGGTGGGAAATAGTTACACTGGCAAATTTTCAACCAGCAGGAGATTTAAGCCCTTGAATTTTGGAATTGCTATGTGCTTGTACTTGTCTAATAAAAAGAAATTATTTGGATTTTAAAAGAGGCGATTGAAATAAGTGGTATTTGACAAATCAGAGGAAACTAGCTCTGAAGAGACTGACGTCATTTAATACAGACTATCTTCTCTTTCATTTATAGCTCTGTTAAGAATAATTTTCCTGGCATATCCTAATTCTGCACAGATTTTCTTCCCAAGTCATGTTACACTAATGTCTGACTTCTTTGGTGCTGAGTCCCCTTATAGAATTCACTGTTTCACAGTGCCTTCAACGCTGAGACATGACTGTAAGTGGTGGCTTGTAGCTATAATTAAACATCTGCTCCACAAAAGCAAGAGATGACCAGCAGTTCTGCAAACCTGGGAGAATTTAGGACCATTAATTACGATGAAAGCCCGTTTTCAGTGAAATAAAAGGAAAGAGGAATAATGTAGGGAAGTCTTAGATCTGTAAGAATTTTAAACTTTTAAAATAAATATAATTACACAGAAATAGCTATTTTAGAGAGCGAGATGTTTTTAAACGCCTTTGATTCCAACTAATTTGGATTGCTTGGGGTTTTTTTTCCCATGTGACTGCTTTTGATGACATATTGTACATATCAAGAATAAGATAATTTATTTCTGTGTTGGGAATAGTTTTTTAATCAGACTCAGTAATGTAAATAGACCTCTATTTGAAAGTTCATTCAAAACCAAGTACTGGTGTATATTTAAGTGCACTGTATGCTGAAGTAGAAATATCCCCCAGTGTTTAACCGAAAGCATGTTTTATGTGTGGTTTTGTTTTGTTTTTTTAATGTTTAACAGTAACTGAAGCTGGCTTTGGTGCTGACATTGGGATGGAGAAATTCTTCAACATCAAATGCAGAGCCTCTGGCTTGGTTCCCAGTGTGGTTGTACTTGTTGCTACAGTGAGGGCTTTGAAGATGCATGGAGGTGGGCCAAATGTAAGTTTTTGCACCTTCCTTGGAAAATACTATTGTTGCTAATATTTGAAATAAGTAAAATATCTTGGTTTAAGAAATATTGGGGGTAGCTTATGGGGCAGTATTGAGGTGTCCCTCCTGAGCTACCCTGTTATACAGCTGTTGGTCCAAAGGTAATGCAAGAGAGGAGAGGGATGAGAGAGCTCTGAAGAAGTATTAAATCTTGTTGAGGGAGGGAAATTTATTCGCATGAAAAGAAAACAAAAACTACAGTGTATATATATATGTGTGTATATGTATATTCTTTTCTCTGCCTGTTGCAATAGCATTTGTAAGTGCACTGAAGTAGTTGCAGGCTGGGAAAATTGGCAGCTGAGGAGGAATGAGAAGAGTTCAGGTTGCAGTATGTGAGCAGAAGTAGGGAACATTGGTAGTCGAGGTTTTGAGATTTCTTTCACTGCAATAATGGGAACCCCTTCTGTCCTTTTAATCTGCTCAGTTTAATTCCCTCAGGGATGCTAAGGTAACTGATAAAATTGTACAAGTGTTTTGCCAGTGTACCAAAAGTCACCGGTGCATCATTTTTTGCTTTTTAAGCCATGGAAAGACTTGTACAGATTACTGATTGTAGAAGTACTCCTCAGTTACACAATCAGATCAGGCTCTGCTAGCCAAGCAGACAGACACTTGACTCCTAGAAACACTTTCATCTGTCGAGCAGCCCGCAAGTGAGGGATGCTGCCAGGGAAACAGTCTCACTGGGTGAAAATACCAGAGCTGTTTCCACAGTCACAAAATTTTGGAATGCGTGGTCTCCCTTACAGCTAATCGTCTCTTAGAGCTAAAGCTGAGCTGTCCTTTTTCAGCCTTTCAAGTTGGCATAATTGTGTAACTTTCTATCATTTTAGCCCACTTCTAATACAAGTTTTCTTTATTTTTAATGATATTCCTTCATGCGTATCATGGTAGGTATATTTTCATGTGTGTTATCATTCGATCTAGCAACAATGGGACTTAAATATTTCTTAATAATTGTCTGTATTTCTGTGTGATTGGTGTCTTTAGAAGTATAAAGGTTTAATTTATTTACGTAATGCATCACAGAGGCATGTAGAGTACCAGATACTTTTACTGGGAGGTTAACTATAAAATGGACCAAGACCAATGCTTGAGACAGAAGTGACTAAGTCCAGTGCCTGGGACAGATGTATGCGGTCCTTGAAGACTCAGTATAGTATCCCAGTGATACTCTTTGTTTGTATACCTTTCTGCTTTCCAGTAAATTACTTACATGCAGTTCCTTGCCAGGGGCAGTAATTACAGGTCACCCAAAGATTATGTTCCTCTTCTGGTCTTCTCTGTCACTGTTACTCCTTCAGCCAGCTGCTGGAGGATGCTGTCCATTGTCTTTGGACTGCTGGTGCGTTGTGAAGCACGTAGAATTGGGATCCAATTACCTCCTCTCTAATAAATCTTTTACAGCTGGTTGCTGAGTCACTACCTGCATCTTGCTACCCAAATTCAATAGGAAGCGTTGCTATTCTCCATGTACTGGTATAACTTGGAATAAAAGAGGAGCTGCAGTTGAGCTATGATATTGTGTACAGTGTGTGTGCTGACTGGCAGTATAGAAAGTAAGCAAAAGTGTGTTTCTGACTATTGAGTATTGTGGCAAGTGTCAATCTGTGATGACTTCGATTGTTTATTATTCCAGGTAACTGCCGGTGCCCCCTTGAAGAAAGAATACACGGAAGAGGTAAGAGGAACTATTATAAAACTTTAGGAGAAGTTTTCATGTAAAGGGACAAAATGCCGTGGTATATGGAGAATCAGAACTTCTCATTCCTCTGGCTGGATAGTGTGCAGCCTCAGGCTTAACAATAGCGTGCTCTAATGCTGACGTTCAGTCAACACCTTTAACAGGCATGAACAACAAGTAAAGCCATCTCATCTTCCCCCAGCTGCTTGGCGTTATCCCTCTTGTGTGTGCTATGGGTGTGACTGCATGGCAGATTGTACTGAGGAACTGAGCTAGCTGAAAAATAACTTTTTTTTCAGTAATTTTTCCGGGACCACTAAGTTTTCAGCCTGATCAGCTCTTCATTCCAGTCCATCGTAGAGGCATTTGTGGCAGCACAAGAGCAGAGTGGCGCAGGGGTCAAAGACGTTCCCTGGAATTAATGATAGCTTAACATGTTCATTAAACAACATTTTTAGTCTGTTTGTGCTTCACATCTGGTGTTGGATGTCACTCTTCAAACAAGAGCGAATTCTACAGGTTTGTTTTCCTTGTCTCTTTGCTGTAGACAAGTTCTGGTCTTTTGGTTTTATCAGGCTAAGGGTATGTGTGTTGTTGCAATTAAAACAGGGCCTACAAAGTGTGAGGTAAAAGAGTTAATAAGGAAAGCCAGTAATGTGTTTTTATCTGGGATGTGTATGTGTATATAGGTTAGTCTATGTGTCTAACATCTGTATGTCAAACCCCACCCTACTGCTGTAGTTTGTTTGTAAACTTTGCAAACAGGAGACCAACAGCCCTTTCACAATCACGACAGGCTGCGCTGGCTTCTTGTGTCCCAGAAAAGAGCAATACATTCATGTACAGATTTTTGACACTGCTTAGTTACTTAGATATGTCTGTTGCTTATTAATTGAAATAAGAATTAATAAGTGCCAAAATATTGTTTTCTGGAAGCATTTAACTTGTCTGCAGCTGTTATGATCAGCACTGTTTATGTTCAGTTTCATTTATGGAAAATTCTTTGGCTGGAGAAGACTTGATGTATCTTACCCCTTCCATTAATTTTTATTTAATTGCACAGAACCTCCAGCTGGTAGCTGATGGCTGCTGTAATCTACAGAAACAGATTCAAATTACTCAACTCTTTGGAGTTCCTGTTGTGGTTGCTCTAAATGTCTTCAAGTAAGTCTGTTCTTTCATTACTCTTGTGAGTAAATCCACAGTTCAAATTTCACAGTTTTCTTGGTTTTTACATTAATCAGTTTTGGCACAAAGAAAAGAAGCTGTTAAAGAATTTCATCTTTTCATCTTAAATATAAAGATCTTTAAATTCTTAGCTTGTTCTTAAGGTTTTAAAACCACCAAAAATGTAGACACTGTTATGGAAATATCAATCTTCTATGTTAATTAACTGTAACATTTATAAAAAGTGTTCTTGAAACATGTAAATGCATATGCATTTCTTTATAGACTTGCTTTACAACTGCTGATGGTAGAGTAAGGATATAAGGTTATAAAAGAGAACTAATTAAACAAAATAATGAGACGGAACTGTTTGGTTGGCAGAACTGACTCTCCTGCTGAGGTTGATCTGGTGTGTGAGATTGCAAAGCAATCTGGAGCATTTGATGCTGTACCCTGCAATCACTGGTCAGCTGGTGGTAGAGGAGCAGTAAAATTAGCTCAAGCTGTGGAAAAGGCAGCCAATCAGAAAAACAGTTTCAAATATCTCTACAACTTGGAGGTAAGATACCTTTTTTTCCTTTTCTTTCCTTTTTTTTTTTTTTTTTTTAATGGAAGCATGCTTACATCAGTGTTTGATTTAAAACCAGAAGAACATTGCAACAAAAGCTATCTAACATACTTGGAAAGCGAATTGACTTGGCTTAAAATCACAAAAGCTGGGGAGAGCAATCAATCTGTGGCACGTCTAATCAGAGGAGCAGGATACGTGCTCGTGGTTTAGTGCAGTGCATTGAATGATGTTTCTTGATACTTTCTTGTTTAACATAAAAGTTATGTCTGGAACATATGATGGAACATTCACAAGTTATTGTGGGAGACTTGTCCACAAAGATCTCACGGTCCTAAGTCAGTGTCTCACGGTCATGAGTGTTGCACCAAGTTGTGGCTCCCTGGAGTGTTCGCTCCCTGTGTGAGGAGGATGTTAGAGGTACCACGTGCACCCTCACGCTGCACGTCTGCCCAGCCAGGCAGGTCACCACAGAGAGCTAGCACTGCCTCTACCAGCACCCACAGCCCTCAGATGAACACCAAGGGTGTTCAAGGGTGGCCCAGGGTCACCCACCAAGGGTCACCCACCAGGGTCACCCACACCAAGGGTGGCCCAGTTCTCTTCCTTCCCTTCTTGCTGATGGGGATTGGAGTCTGCTAGTACAATGTGGCACAGACGATAGATGGGTCACTGCTGCTGTTGGCCTTATCCTCAGTCTATCCAGCAGCCCCTCGGTGCCCCTGCCCTGCTCCAATTGTTGGCACCAGGGTCTGTGAGCCCCTGAGGTTCAGGGCTCCCTCCAGCTGCTGGCACTCAGACCTTTCCTCCTGCTCCCTCATGTTCATACATACACATCTAGAGCACAGACTACAGAAGGTAGTCAGAAATCAGGTTTAAATTTAATTTCATCAGGACAGACTGTGGTCAGACAGGCTGCTGACCAGCCACCTTTACACCCAACCAGCCCCTTTTTCCCCCTTTCCCTCTATTTTTTCCCCACACTTCTTCCTCTCCAGTCCACCTTGGTTACTCCCTTTCCCCATCTTCAGTCCTTCCACTAAACCTTGCCTCACAATCTTTACATGTTCCCACAATCCCCTTCCTAAATTCCCTCTTAAGTTTTACACAGACCCAAAATGCTGCTCTTCCTACATCCCATAAGGAGTCCCTGTACCTTTGCAGGCAGTCACCCCCTTTTGTTTGCAAAAGTTTTCTGATTAGAGTTTCCCCACTGACACACCTCAGTGCATTTCACACCAAGGACAATGGTCTCATCCTTCCCCTTGGATGGTCTTACGAAACGGCCAATTCAGTATGCTCTAATTTTCATTGATTGGGTTTTTCCACTGATTATATTACTAGGGTTCCTCCAGCTATCATTGCTTCTTTGATCCTTGCTTGGGCTTTGTGTTTAATTTGCTTAGCTTTTAGTTAGTCAGATAGATAACCTAACAAAGGATAGTGTGGTCCAAGGTCTGCCAGAGGTGGTGACTCTTTTTCCATGTCTTGGAGACTTTGTTAATGCAGTCCTCTGCAAGGTAACACTGCGGCATCATGAGCTGTCACGAGGAGAAGCTTGCAAGGAAGGGCTGCTTGGGCAGCTGGAGTTACCACCACGCAGGCAGAACATTTGGAGGGATGTATTGCCAGGAAGGTTATACAAAAGATTCCTCAGGACCTTCCTCACTATGCAAATGTGGGTGGGTTAAAATCTGGGCAGCAAAATAGACTTCTCTGGCACCAAGGATGCCCTTGTCAAATTTCAGATCCTGTGCCCCAGCGCTACTTAGGTTTCTTCAGAAAATGTTTGAATGCTATTTTTTAACAGCAGAACCTCAGCTTCATTCTTTTAGATGGCTGAAAGTTCCTGTTTTGATTCTTCTCGCCAGGAAAAAGTTCAGCCTGAGGTAGATGTGCCCTACTGTTGCCTTTCAGTTTCTCTCCTCCCTGATATGTTCCCCGTATCTGTTGCGCCCATTTTATTTCTTCTTTCCGCCTCCCCCAGTGTTTTCCCAAATGTCAGTAACTCAGCCAACTCCTATTAGTATTAACCACTGCCTTCACAGAATAGATGGAAATACCTTGGGAATGTAAGTGCTGCAGCATCTATTCAGGGCATTTTGCCCATGGAACGTTTTTGCAGCCAAACAATGAACAAAGTGTCTGCCTTTCTAAGTTTGTCTCTAATGAGATGCTCTGGAAACTGAGGATATCGTTTTATGGGTTTTGCATAATAAAATGGAGAAAAAAATTCTTTCAGAAATACGTGTAATAGTTTTCCCCATAGGACACTTGTGTTACAGAGATAGCACATTAGCGTTTGACAAGTCCCATATTTAAGCTCTGATGTTACTGCATTCTATGTAACTTACAATCTTGTGGTATGGATGAGTAGAAAGGATTGGTAGGGGTGGATTCTGCCTTTATGGAGGAAGAAAATGAGATTGATTTCTATTTTAATGTCTTTCCCAGACACATCTTTTTGTGCTGTCACATAAGTAGCATGATCTTAAGCACGAAGGGAATGAATCACATCTCTACATCAACTTAATATCCCATAAGTTAACACAAGTATTATAAGCCTCAAAAATATGTTGAAGGGATTTTATAAAAACATATAAAGATTTTAAAATACTGTAAGAAAAGTTAATTCAGGCCAACAAAAACAGTGAAGTGTAAAGTTCAGGCTTCTGTTTCGTTCTTACTGTGCAAAGGATGGGGACTGAAGCAGTTGGAAGTAGAAGAGTGAAACAGCAGAGCTGTCACTTCTATGGTGTGAGATGTCATTCGGTCACTGGGCTGGCTCAAAGAGATGTGAGGGAAAGCCACCTTTCCAAATGAGCCTGCCTAGATATTAATTAAGATTGTAATAGGATTTTTTGATGTAGCCATTTTGAGGACAGAGTTCTGCTGTTCACAAGGGTAACTATGACAGAAAATTAAGAAAGAGAAGAGGTAGTAAGATGGGATTTAGACAGATGATTTCCCTCCATCATTGTGCCTAAAAGGGATGTAAATGAAAAGTTCTATCCCCTGTCCTTCCAGTGACTGCCACATTTGTCCAGTTACTAGAATACAATTAAGTCCTGATTGCCTCAAGTTCAATGGGGTTTGCTGTGGTGGTGTGGTTTTTTTTCTTTTCTTTCCTCTTTGGAACATTGAGGGGGGGAATATTCTGCATATAAAAAAACTGCTACCTCACTCATATCTCTGTCTTTATGGTCTTACCCTACTCTTTACTCCATGTCTCCATTTAGTCCTTTGATGTCTATGCATCTTACTTTCCTCAGTCTGCAAAACTTCATCAGAATTTACTTCCAAAACTGGCTATAATTAGAACAACTTCCAAGAGCACAGACCACTGTAGCCATAATAGATTCATTCAACATTTTGATATTTTGTTAGAAAGTGTTACCCTGAGGATTTAAAAACAACACCCAAAACCCCTATATGTAAACTGTGTTTGATCCTTTTTTACAGCTAGACCAAAGTTTGCAACAGACTATATTATTAGTATAGATTCAGGCATCTAATTACAGGATAGTCAAGGTCACCTGGGCTCTCTTTGGGTTTTTTCCAAATGGCCTGCATCTCTGCAATGCGTTATGTAATTCCCAATGTATACCTGGAAACAAAGACTTCTTGAAAGGTGTTTACAAATGTGTATAATGTGAGAATAACAAGAAAGTCTTTTCTAGATCTGTCAAATACTGGTAAAAAGTTGAGGATCTGTGATTTTTTTTTTTTCTGAATCCTGAGATGTATTTATACATTTATACCATCTTGTCCAGTGATACCCAAGCATGTGCTGAATGAGCGATTTTAGACAGTGGACACAACACAGTTGTGTCAGTTCAGGATTCAGGCTTGGCTAAGTGGTCCTGTTGAGTATCATAGCAAGCTAGTCTAATTAGAAGACTGTGCTAATGTGGCTATATTCCTCTGACTCCATCTGTTTAAACTTCCTCAGGTGTCTCTACATGACATGGTGTTCTGTAGTCCCACTTTTAGATTGCCTTTCAGGTCCTTTTTATTTATTTCTCTGAGCCCTGAAGCTTTTGGTTTTATCCTAGTAACCAATGCTTGTACTTTTTTAAATTTTTTTTTTAATACTTCGATTCTAACAAGGGTTTGTTTGACATTTGGTATTAAATGAGCAAGTATTTTTCAAAACTTGAAATGAGAATATGCTTTCGAGCATATTTTTGAGGGCAGTGCGTAGAATAGCTGCATATATGATTTTGGGAGTGTATATGTGTGCCAGTGCCTTTTCATGGATCAAGTACAGGAAATGACCTTGTGACAAGTAACCCCCAGCAGTGTTGTCACTTTAAAAGTGTAAGAAAAGGATATAAACAGATATAGCATACCATGAAATGCTTACAGTATTAGGAATTGCGTGGAGTGGGGGGACGGGTCAGGAGCAAGGGTGAGCTTTTATATAATAGGCTCCAGAGTTTATAACATAGTTCAGAAGATTATTGGCAGTAGTCGTAGTAAATACTATAGTTGTATGTGGGTTTAATACAGATTTTTGCCCCCGCTGCATGCTGACCTCTCTTATTTAACTGTTGAATTGGTTTCTTGCTGAGTATTTCTCTTTAGTGTTTGGAGGATGGGTTTGTTTTAAAGGCCTCCTGAACTCTCTAAGAAATAATCTGTCCTTTTTTTCTTTTAATATATATTCTTGCTACATATGGAAAATATCAAAATATCAGCTCTCTTATCACTGTTGACTTCCTTTCTGGGTTCACTTTTCTTGAAGTATGGGTCTTTAAGTTGCAGCAGAAAGCTATTACTCAAAATAAAGTTGACTGACCCATTAAAAGTGAGTTTAGATAACTAGGGGGAGGATAGGAGAGGATGGAAACATACGCGTCCCATTCCCAAATTTCTCTGGCTTTAGTGCCTGTTGTTGGCAGGGAGGGAAGCTGTGTTCCCCCCTAATGCATGCCTGTTGAGTAACCTGCCTTCTTTCACCATCCTGCTCTCCTTTCTTCTCCTGTGGT